TTCAAATTGCCCTTCTAACGGCGGGTGTTTCTGAACCAGTCTTTCGGTTAATGCTAAAATGCATTCACATGGATACCATACATTACAGTACAAATAAACATACCAAGATTTATGCTCATTCATACACATACATACATATGTATGTGTTTATGTACACGTAAGCAGATCCTCAACACTTTTGAAGCTAAATTCTTTGTAATTTGTGGCATGCAAAATTCTCTGTGGGCTTGTACACAATTGTGTTGCATTCATGTTTAATGGGTAATTTCAAATTCTAGTGTGTGTGTGTATCCTCTTGTAAGGGTTTTGTTGCATTTTTTCGCTTACATTTATGTATGTACATATATTTGTGTGAGTGTAAATATGTTGCAAGCTATTAATCAAAATGTCATTTATTTGAAGGGTATTAGTATATGGCAACAACGTCAGCTACAACAATGTTTTATACCTGATATGATTAAGCATTTTTGCATTTATAGCATCAGTATGTTTAAGGTATGCCTTATGGATATTAAAATATGTAATTTGGTATATAAAAAGTCAGCACAAACAATATATACATACATTTATTGTTTACACTAAAATGTATGTATGTCGGTCTTTTGACAGTCCAATCGGAAAGAGCTGGGAAACATAAATTTCATAAATATTGATGACAAGCAATCTTCCGGAATAATGCTTAAATGCATAGCTAAATCGATATAGAATTTTATAAGAATCATCCATTTATAAATTTTTGGATCTCAGATGAATATTTCTAAAATTTACACACGTAATGACAAACTTATCTATGTAAACTCTCTATCAACACTGATTGTGGTGGCGGGCATGACGAAAGAGTAATGCAAGTTTAATAAACCTCCGCTTCGGTGGCGTATTATTATTGTAGTAAATCAATTTCACAAATATCAATTACACCTTGAGATTGAAATTAATAAAAATAAGATGATGTCTGAATCTACAGTTTTTTATTTCGTGATCCTATTTCCTTGTAAAAGGACTTTAAAATTTCAAAGTAGCACATTTTTAAAATATTTTTTGAAAATGTACTTCTTTAAAACTTTGATGTCCTTTAAAAAGGACACAGGAGCACGAAATGAAATATTAAAAAAGTAGTTTTTCTCCATTAAATTTATAGTTTCAGACGTTTATTATCCGGTTCACGTCCAACAATTTTTATCTCTTTGTTGTCGGACGGTGAAATAATGAATTTGAATTCTATAAAACTTGCACACAGAAAATGGATCGATTGGAAATCGGCTGCTATGATAAATATTTAGTTATATTAATTAAAATTTTATCGCTGTTATTGAAAGACTGTAAAATTAAATGATTTTCTATATTCAGTACTAAAACAACATAATTATAATCGAATTGTGGTTTTAACTATTTCCAAATCAATAATTTGAACTGAATTGTATCGGTTAGTACATTCATTTGTGAATTCAGTAAATGAAACAGACTTTTATTTAGAATTAAAACGTAAGAACATTAGATATTAGTCGCTGCAACCGAAAAATAGTAGAAAGTAAAAAATATTGAGCACTGCAACCAATTATCAATTGACAAAATTATTTAAAATTGAATAACGGTTAAAGGGACCAAATTCGATGTTCACAACCAATAAATTGGTAATAATAGTTGACGTATATAAAAATAAATAAAATACAAAGAATTTATAATTAAGAAAACGAATTACATTTAAGGATTCATTAATGCGGAAAAATCGGACAAAAAAGGTAATGTTTAATATATGTTATGTCTTATAATTTATATTGAGATATTTTCTTATAAGTTTTAATAATTTTACAGCTGCGGAAAGGCGTGGAAAGGTAATACTTCTTTGGACATGTTAGACAGGCAAAGAAAAGATGAAAGCAAAATCCTTGGCACATAAACATAGCGTTTATCATCAAATTATCAAAACTAAAGGGGAAAGCTGTATTTTTATATATAAATAAGTTTTGTAAGTTTATACAGATTCATATTTTTGGTAAATATTGTAAATAAAATGAAATATATTTTAAAATACACAAAGTCCACAAATTGGTTTTCAAGAAGAAATTATTCAGTTGCAAATACCAATAATTTCAATCCGTATTTCCGAATAATAAACAAAAATAGTTGTGTACACCATATATACAGTAATAGTAACCGAATTTTTCAATAATTACAATCGAATTTTAGTATAGTTGCTAGAACCTACTGAATTCGATTGGAAACAAGTTCGGTTATCACAACGAATCTGTTTTCTCTGTGTGATTATGTCTATTTTCATCGTTATTTAAGCAAGTTATAAGCGCTCAAGTCATATTTTGAAGCAGAACTTATATGGAGGCTTGGATCCAATATGAATAGATTCTTATCAAATTTTCCGCAGAAGTTTAAAAACTCACAAATTCGTTAAAGTAAAATTTTATTGCTCTACTGGTATTTTCAAGCTAGTTAGGAGTATTAAAGTTATTTTCCGAAGGGCCTTTATAGGGTGGAATAAATGATAGGCAAATGTCCACCAACTTAGTAGTTAGTTAGTAAGTTAGTTAGTTAGTTAGTTAGTTAGTTAGTTAGTTAGTTAGTTAGTTAGTTAGTTTAGTTAGTTAGTTAGTTAGTTTAGTTAGTTAGTTAGTTAGTTCGTTAGTTCGTTTCGTTAGTTCGTTTTGTTTAGTTCGTTCGTTTCGTTAGTTTTAGTTCGTTTCGTTAGTTCGTTATCGTTCGTTCGTTCGTTCGTTAGTTCGTTTCGTTCGTTCGTTCGTTCGTTAGTTCGTTCGTTTAGGTCGTTCGTTCGTTCGTTTTTCGTTCGTTCGTTTCGTTCGCGTTCGTTCGTTCGTTCGTTCGTTCGTTCGTTCGTTCGTTCGTTCGTTCGTTCGTTCGTTCGTTCTTCGTTTTCGTTCGTTCTTCGTTCGTTCGTTCGTTTTCGTTCGTTCGTTCGTTCGTTCGTTCGTTCGTTCGTTCGTTCGTTCGTTCGTTTCGTTCGTTCGTTCGTTCGTTCGTTCGTTCGTTCGTTATTCGTTTCGTTCGTTCGTTCGTTCGTTCGTTCGTTTCGTTCGTTCGTTCGTTGTTCGTTCGTTAGTTCGTTCGTTCGTTCGTTCGTTCGTTCGTTCGTTCGTTCTAGTTTTCGTTGTTCGTTCGTTCGTTCGTTCGTTCGTAGTTAGTTAGTTAGTTAGTTAGTTAGTTAGTTAGTTAGTAGTTAGTTAGTTAGTTAGTTAGTTAGTTAGTTAGTTCGTTAGTTAGTTAGTTAGTTAGTTAGTTAGTAGTTAGTTAGTTAGTTAGGTTAGTAGTTAGTTAGTTAGTTAGTTCGTTAGTTAGTTAGTTAGTTAGTAGTTTAGTTAGTTAGTAGTTAGTTAGTTAGTTAGTTAGTTAGTTAGTTAGTTAGTTAGTTAGTTAGTTAGTTAGTAGTTAGTAGTTAGTTAGTTAGTTAGTAGTTAGTTTAGTTAGTTAGTAGTTAGTTAGTTAGTTAGTAGTTAGTTAGTTAGTTAGTTAGTTAGTTAGTTAGTTAGTTAGTTAGTTTAGTTTAGTTAGTTAGTTAGTTAGTTAGTTAGTTAGTTAGTTAGTTAGTTAGTAGTTAGTTAGTTAGTTCACATTTTTGTGCCTTAATCATATCTGAGTTTTTTCATAAAAATCCAAATTGTCCACACACTTATCGAGCAATTACTGCAATAAAGTAAATTTATTACACTTGCGGTCGCATCCGTTTTTTTATACCATACACCACTATAGTGGGGAGGGTATTATGCGTTTGTGCTGATGTTTGCAACACCCAAAGATATTTGCGCCGAGGACAAATTCTATTGAAAATTTTTGAAATGTTGTATATAAGTCTAAATGATACCGATAATTTTCGTAATGATCGGGCCTCATTTGATCCTAGACCCCATACAAAGCTCCCTTCAGAAAATGACGTAAAAGTGAAAATTCACTTTTAAACACTAGTATCACGATGAAATTTTCGATAAATAACTTCAATGTCATCCTAAATCGCTCTGACAAAATTTATACGAATAAGACCACATTTACCTTTAACTCTTTTTTCAAAAAAAATGTTTTTTTTATGAACAAATTGTAAACATATTTCGGAATTAATAATCCACATTTTCAACATACCCACTATTGTAGGGTTACATATGATCGGGCATGCCTAGTACTAGTAATACATATATATTTTAAGCTAAAAGTGACCGATAAGCTAACCAGAAGATCATCTTACCTTTAACGTAGGGTTAGGTACTTGAAGTTGCCATATTGTAATATTTGCAAACATACTTTAAGTTAAAAGTTAAAGGCAACATAAACTTCGCGTTAGCTTATCGGTCACTTTTAACTTATAATAAAGAAAAACAAATGATCTATCCGATAATATATAAACTTTAGCTATTGGAAAGTCATAATAAAGGGCCTTAAGTAAATAATATTATTATTTTAAATACAAACAAATCTTGAAACAAAAAACTATAAAACTTTAAGATTAAATAATCTAATCTTTATCTTATCACAAACATAGGAATAAGTAAAACATAAATGTCTAACTAATTCGTCGAGTATTAGATTTTGACTACACTATGTTAATTTATAGTTGTTTTTTATCAGCGTAAAAAAACACGCCTAAATATGTACATATGTATGTGTATATGTTTAATACATACTTACTCTTAAAGATTAAACTTATTTTGTTATATTTGTTTGAACTTTTTGGCAAATAACATTTTAAATAGAACTAACATGTTTTTATAAAACTTTAGTTAAAAACCAGTAGTGACATCAAACGCAATAAATAGCACGGAAACGGATTAAATAAATTTAATAAAAAAATGTGCAATAATTACAGTGATATAACAGTAAAAGATAAATAAAAATATTAATATAATGTTGTAGATTTAAAAAAATATATAAAATTAATAAATTATTTGCTAAGCAACTTACAATAAAAATTGTTGTAACTTAATACTAAAATAAAAAATACATATTCTGAAAAGTTTTATAAATTTTTATAATTTTTATAAAAAATGAATTGTTCTAGAAAAAAAGTTATACGTCCACAAAATCCTTATTCCAAGGCGAATATATTTTCCCGTGTTAGTTTTTGGTAAGTTTAACTGGTTTAACTAATCTTTGAGCATTTTTTATAAGATTAAAATATTATTTATCAAGTGTCCACAGAACACACAAACTACATACATACATACATATAAAATTAAATTTACTATAGCGGAAATACTAAACAATTAACGGCGTTAGTAACAATTAATAATATTAGTTTCTAAATTAAATACTTAGTAATAACTAATGGCATATTTAAGCTCAAATTAGTTGAAAATTTTTTGCTCAGCTTCTAGTCTTTCGTTTTCTACGCAATTTCTGAACGGAAAATTCTTTTAAATCAATATATCAACACAAAAATAACACTTTAAGATAAAGTGTCTGGGTGTACTTTATCGCTAATTGAATACTGCACTTTGTTACCATAAAGTATAAAAAAACGTCACAAATATTTCTTGATTTCACTTTAGAAAACACCCAGCAAAAACATGGTAATGACTTGCACTTATTCAAGAACTTTTTAATCACTACTATAAACCGCCTGCATTACTTAGAGGGCTTTTAGTAATGACTTACAAATAACTGTTTATGTATGTAAGTACATGCTTTTACAATTGATTAAACATTTTTTTAATGTTTCAGTTTTATACGTTCAATATCACGTGATTAAATTCGCATTCAGTAAGAAGCTTGTATTTTTAGTCTCATTCATTAAGCTTCCACATTATAGAAAATTTCGAAAGTACTATTTGAAAAAAAAAGTACTATAAAATACCTCTAATAGATTATCATTTAATCAAAAATTGTATGTTTCATTGTTCAATAATATATACAATTCAAAAAATATAATTTTAATGAATGAAAAAGTACCAAACGTCCCTTTACCAAAGTGGAAAGTACTAAAAAAGAATACAATTTCTCCCCTTTTCGCTTAGAAATATACTTTTTCGAGAATTAAGTTTACAAAATGTTCCGTATATAAATCTATATATCACAGATAAAACTCAAACGTTTCAAACCAGCATTCATTTGTTCCAGAAAAATAGTGCTTTCAAAAAGTACCAAACAATTTACTCGAATTTGGTCCTATATAGGACTTAGTACTCGAATTCCAAAATAATATACCAACAGCTTATTTTGTGTGAGTAAATAAACTACTTTTTCAAATTTTATAAAAATTGGCTCAATGAGTTTGAATAAAATTAAATTTTCCGTTTTTTCCTTTTTTGGTACTTTTTTCCCCAGTGAAATAGCAAAAATTTTATTGCAATAAATATTACAGTGTTAGTCCTTAATTTAATAGGAATAATTCAATAAACCGAAAAAGTTTTCTTAGGGCGGGTTTCTTACTACTCAGTTAAAGTAGGCTTAACTTGCTGTTAGATTAAACTCGGAACAAATTTAGGCGGACTTTAATCGATGTTGTGTTTTTCAGTTATGGATTTAAGATCAGTTAACTTTGTTAGTATTGCCAACTTTTCACTCAAAAACATAAACAATGAACAGCTGTTTTTTGGAAATAATACTTTTGTAAAATTAAAAATTTTGGAAAATTGTTAGATAAACATTTAAAACAATAATAAATAAAACAAAACAAATCAGAAAATTGCAATTTACTTAAAATATTAAGTTTTTGTTCTTCCGAAATCATTGTTTTATTGTTTTTGTTAATTGTGTCTTCTCACTTATAACTTAAGTTTAATTGGCCATTAACACTCAGTTAAACTAAGATAATAAGTAACGTTACTGTTTACTGAAAAACACAAAACATATATTAAACTAGGTTTAAACAAAGAATGTAGATTATCTTTATCTGAAAAACCCGCCCTAAAAAAAGTACCATAAATACAGTTTTCTCCCATTTACACCCAAAAAGGACTGAATTTTAAAAAAGTACGAAACAGGTGTCTCATAATTTTGGGAGATGTATCCAAAATATTTATAAAAATTTTATTATGTTAATTAGTTCAAAAGTTATAAGGGGCCAAAAAAGGTCCCAAAATCACATTTGTTACACATTTTTACCCCTTAAAAGTACGAATTTCAAAAAAGTACCAGACACCCATCTGCTTATTTTAAGAGTAGATACAGGTGCATTTAAAATTTTTCTTGTATCACTAATATTGTGTAAGATAATTAAGAAAACCTGTTTTACCCGTTTTTTCCCTCTTTTTACCCGTAAATGTACAAATTTCCAAAAATCCCTCCTTAGTGGATCTACATAACCAAAAACACATCTACTGTCAAAATTTCATGATTCTAGGTTCAGCCGTTTGGGCTGTGCGATGATGAATCAGTCAGTCAGTAACGCTACTCTTTTATATATATATAGATAGATTGTAATTGAAATTGTACCAATTACAATTATTTATAATTGTAATTAAAGTTTTGTCAATTACAATTACTGGTTATTGTAATGGAATAATTTAATACTACTTGTAATTGTAAATTTTTCCCTTATAATTACTTGCAATTTGTAATTAATAATACATAAATTACAATTACAAGTGATTGTAATTGATATACTTCAATTACAATTTCAATTGCAAGTAATTGTAATTCGTTATTTTTCAATTACACATTACAAATAATTGTAAATAGAATAGCTTCAATTACAATTACAAGTAATTGTAATTGACCATTTAATGAATTACTTTGTGTAATCATTACCACCCAAGCCTGCTAAATAGTTGCCCAACAATGTTTGTTATTACGTGAAAGAATAATAATCAAAACGTGTTCAATATTTTTCAAAAAGACAAAGTGTGACGTCATTAGCATTTAACTATAAACATAATAAAATGAGACACATTATCAAACTAATAATAAAAACATTAAACGTTTGAGCCCATATAAATTGAATGAACATGATAATTTTTAATAAATAACAAATGCTGACTTATAGTAAGTTTAAAAAACTTAAAATGTTTACGAAACTTTAGTTTAAAACCAGAAGTGGTACCAAGCACAGTAAATAGTAAAGAAGCATATTAAAAAGAATTAATAAACAGATGTGTAATAATTACAGTGACAACAAAACAGAAACAAAACTATTAATTATGTATAAATTTTTGCAAAAATTACACATTGTTTATCAATATTATACATGGGTGTTTCATATTTTAACACTATTTGGTTCGATACCGTAGATTACGAATATAATTCCTTTCGATTATTTCGTTAAGTAATTTTTAATAACAAAACTAGTGAACTGACAATATTATTAAAGCAAAAGAAGATAAAAAATCATTTTCAAACCAGCGATCTAATGGATTTTAATAATGGTTTCTTTAAGAATATAATTATACCCTACACCACTGTAGTGTCCGTCTGTCCGTCCGTCCATCTGTGTGTCCACTGTAAACCTTGTGCGCACGCTACAGGTCGCAATTTTCCACATAATATGATGAATTTTGGCACAAACTCTTCTTTTGACTCAAGAATGAAAATAGTTGAAATCGGTCCATTATTTCGTCTAGCACCCATACAACTACACCCCCGAATAGGGGTTTTGAGTTAACAATTATGTTAAATGTTGTAGAATCTATACAAAAATCTGCAAATCGATGACTTTAATGTCATCGTAAATCACTCTACCTAAATTTATACGGATAGGGTCATAATAACCTTTGCCCCCATATAACTCCTCTTTCAGAAAATCACTTTTTTGGCAACAAATTCTTAAAATTTTTGGAATTAAGGTAAAATCCCTTATTACATATTTGAGAAATAATACACATTTTTAACATACTGGAAGTGAATGATAAAATGTTAATTCTTTATTTTAACTGCAACCTATTAGCTGATAAACAATGAACTGTTCTAGAAATAAACTTCTACGCCCACAAAATCCCTATTCAAAAGCAAATATATTTTCCCGTATATGTTTTTGGTAAGACATTGATTTAACTAATCTTTGGTTAATTTTAAATGATATAAATTTTATTTATATTGCGGTATATTGATTTTGTCATTCCGTTTGCAACACATCAAAATATGGGTCAAAAACCCACAAAAGTATATATATACTGGGTCCTTATTAAATTCTAAGACGATCAAGCCATGTCCGTCCGCCTGTCTGTTAAAATCATGATAGGGACCACACGGGAGGAGCTATGTAGACAGTTGAAATTTGGCATAAATATTCTTCATTAATAAGGTTTGTTTGGTATTGAAAATGGGCAATATCGGCCCACGGTTTCGTATAGCCCCCATACAAGTGCACTCCCAAAAAACAGCTTTAACGGGCATAATTGTTTTAGAAGTACGAGTATAGCGATGAAATTCGACATAAATAAGTTTCATATAAGCCAAAATCTCTCTACCAAATTTTTTGAGGATTGGTCCATAATTGACCCTAAGGTCACCTTCAGTAAATGACTTTAACACTCATTACTGGCCTAAAAATATAGCGATTAAATTCGGCAGAAGTAAGTTTCTTACGAGCCAAAACCTCTCTACCAATTTTTTTGATAGTCGGCCTATAAATGACCCTACCCCCATATAAGGTCCCCTTCAGAAAATGACTATAACGCTCATTACTGGCTTAAAAATATGAATACAGTGACGAAATTCGACACACATAAGCTTTATATGAGCCAAAATCTCTCTACCAAATTTAGTGAGGATCGCTCCATAATTGACCCTACCGCCCACACAAGCTCCCCTTCAGAAAATGACTTTAACGCTCATTACAATTAATTTCCCCGCGAGCCAAAATCTCTCTACCAACTTTTATGTAGATTGGTTCATAATTAACCCTACCGCCCACACAAGGTCCCCTTCAGAAAATGCCCTTAACGCTCATTACTGGCTAAAATATACGAGTATAGCGATAAAATTTGACACAATTAATTTCCCCGCGAGCCAAAATCTCTTTCGAGTATATTGACATAAACAAGTTCTATACAAAACAAAATCTATTTATGTACAAAATTTTGTGAGTATCGGTTCAAAATTGACGCATATAAGGTCTTCTTCAGAAAATTACTCATACGCTCACGGTTTAAAAATGGAACAAAAATATTTTGTTTTTAAAAATTAATATTTTCTTAGTTCAAAAGAGCTAGGTCCACAATTTACCTAAGCCGTATTTCAAATATCGGCATACGATTTGATAGTGGGCATATGAGATTCAAAAACCGGTTTTTGGAAAATGTCGAATAATTGATCAACCTAATTTCAACTGTAATTTCTTAATTGTTAATTAAAAATTAAAAAAAATCTTAATTTCTTTAGTTGGTTAACAGATATTTTTCGTTTGGGCTGGAAAAAATCGATTGCTGAAGAGGATTTATACGAGCCGCCTAGTGACTTAGAATGTCAAGATGCCACAAAGCTCTTGGACAAACTCTGGGAAGAAGAAAAAAAATATAAGAAGAATCCAAATATTATATATATTCTATATAAGGCTTTTGCAAGACCTTATGTCATATGGAGCACATTATATGGAGTGTTGGAGGTAACACTTATGTAAGTAATAACTTTGTTAAAATCGAAATTAAAAAAAACAAACGTTAATAGCTAATTTTGTTACAGGGCTTTACAACCTTTATTTTTGGGAGGTTTGGTGACATTTTTTGCTTCTGACCAGAAGACTGTGAGTGAAAATGATGCTTTCCTTTATGCCGCTGGCATAATTTTATGTAACGTTTTAATAGTTTTGCCACGACATCAAAATTATTTTTATTCCGCTAAGAGTGGAGCACAAATTCGGGTGGCACTCTCCGGTTTGATATATCGTAAATGTTTGCAAATTCCAAAAAATTCTAGCGACGAAGGTTTACATACCAGAGCCATCAATATACTGGCTAATGATCTATCGGTGTTCGATATAGCTTTGAACTATATACATGATGTTTGGAAAGGACCAATGGTGTCTTTAATAGTTGGTTGCATAATGTTTTCCGAAATTGGTTGGGCTGCTGTAATTGGCATTACTTTCATGTTAAGTTTTATACCTCTACAAGCATGGGGTGCCCGTAAGGCTGCCTTTTATAAAAAGAAAACCTTGAAACAGACTGATCGGCGGGTAAAACTAATGAACGAAATCATTTCGGGCATTGAAGTGATTAAGATGTATGCTTGGGAAAAATCTTTTTCCAAGTTAATAAATTCTGTGAGAGGCGAAGAAATGAAAGCCATTAAAGGATATGCGTATGTGTATGCTGGTATCAACTGCTTCAACATGATTTGCCCCATTTCCATCTTTTTGGCTTTGATGTCTTATATTTGTTTGGGTGGGGTGCTGACGGCCAGGGCAGTTTTCATAATATCCTCTTACTTTACTATGCTTAACAAGCATATGGTAGCCTATTGGCCATTATCTTTGATACATTTGAGTGAAATCTGGATTTCCATTAAGAGATGTAGAGATTTTTTGCTCTATGATGAAGAAAAAACAAGCCAACCTGAGGAGAGTAACAATGAAAAGCAGAAACTACTTAATGAACAAATGCAGCATAACTGTAGGCGTATTGTAAATGCAGAATCTAAATTTAAGAGCCTAGAGATGTGTAATGTAAATGCCAGTTGGAAAACCAAGGCAGATGAGAGTTCCATGATGAAAACAGCTTTAGCCAGTATTAACATTAATTTTAAGGAAAACACATTGTCCGCAATTGTGGGACCAGTAGGCGCCGGCAAATCTACTTTAATCAATGCCATTTTGGGAGAAATAAAAACAGAGTCTGGGGAAATTTTAATCAATGGCAAGATTTCCTACTGCAGTCAAGAACCCTGGGTTTTTGGTGGCTCCATTAAGGACAATATTATATTTGCAGAAGACTACGATGACTTGCGTTATAAACAGGTTTTAAAAGTGTGCGCTCTGGAACGTGATGTGGAGTTGTGGCCCAAACGTGATTTGACTGTGGTGGGAGAACGCGGTGTTAGTTTGAGTGGTGGCCAACGAGCACGTGTAAATTTGGCTAGAGCAATATATCGCAAGGCAGATATTTATATACTAGACGATCCCCTTTCCGCCGTGGACACGCATGTTGGCCAACATTTAATGGACTATTGTATCAAACAATTTCTAAACGATAAAATACGCATATTAGTTACACATCAATTGCAATATCTCAACGATTTGGAACATGTCATTCTTATGGACTCGGGCAGTGTAATGGCTCAAGGAAGTTATCAGAAATTACAAAATTCCAAACAATTTCAATTTTTTGCTCAATCAGAAACTGAAGCCTGTGACGATATGCAGTTGGCTAAGAAAGTTACAGAAGATAATGCGGACAAAACTAACAGCGACTTAGATAAACCCGATAAATCAGCAAAGAATAAATCACAAACTCAGGAAGAATCAAATAAGGAAAATATGTTTAGTGGTTCTGTTCAGTTTAAGACCTACTTAACCTATTTTAAGTCATTTAATAATACCTGCTTATCGATTATAATAATAACACTGTTTCTATTAACACGTTTCATGTTAAACAGTATGGATTATTTCCTATCAAGATGGTGAGTAAATCTCAATTCGTTAACCCTGTAAATATTATATTTTGATTTTCTTTTAGGGTTATTTGGGAAGAAAAAGTTGCCTTACTACCGCTTAGCAATTATACAACGAATACCAGCAATAACTTAACAGACTTTGGAGAACAACGTGCAACAGTTCTCCATTTAAATAATACTCGTACTATTAATTTTACAACAAATAATACCACACAATACTCGAATAACGACAGCAATTATAGTGAAGAGAGATATCAGCGCATTATTATATATTTGACAATATTGGTTTCCACTTTTATTGTTTATGTTTTACGTACTTTTAATTACTATCGTATGTGTAATCAGATATCTATATATCTTCATGATTTGCTATTCCGTGCCATAACCGGGACTAATATGTTGTTTTTCAATACAAATCCTTCGGGTCGTATATTGAATCGTTTCTCGAAAGATGTACGTAGTATGGATGTGGATGTGCCTAAAATGTCAATTGATTGTTTACAAGTAAGTATTAAAAAAAAACGGTTGTGATTCCGTTTGTAATACAATTACATACTAGTCATAGACCAACATAGGTATATATATATTCTGGGTCCTTATTAAATTGTAAGACCATCTAGCCATGTCCACCAATCCACTCATCCGTCTGTCTGTTTAAAGTACGATAGGAGAAGCTTGATTGCAATCGTGATAGAAGTTTGAAGAAGTTAGTAATAGCTACTGTTTACTTCGAAATTTGAAGTAGGCGACATGTCGCGCCCATATACAAAATAAATATCAAGATTAGCATATATCAGAAACTGCAACAGCTAGATTTCCATGTCAACACTTGGGGGCAAAATGGATGGACTGGCTATAGTGGGCGGGCACCTCACATATAAGAAAATATTAAATTAGTATATCTGAAAAAATAAAACCGTTAGAGCCGCTTTTGTATCAATTTGAATATTTAAGATACAAATGGACAGACAAGCAATAATAGAATCCTCAAATTTTGCACAAACAACTTTGAAAATCATATGAACTTTTGAGAATAAAATGAACGGACCAGAAAGAGGGGGCGTGGCACTCTCATATAAATTAAATACAAATATTCGTATATCTGAGGAACTATTAAGGCTAGAATCCTCTATCAAAGCATGAACAACTTTGACACCCATGTAAACATTTGGGTTAAATAATAAGGGGCGTGACACCTCCCATTTGAACTAAATACGAAAATTCATACATCTGGCAAATCGTTAGAGCTGAAATCTGAGCAACATTGAAGCACATATGGACATTTAGAAAAATTGTTCAACTTAAAATAGTAGACGTTGCAATTATTTTAAGGGTAGCGAAGCACACTAGGTATAGGTAATATTTTATAAGAACAAGCTCATAAAATCCCACTATAGTCATGTAGGGTATAGTAAATGTAGGGTATATAGAAATTTTTATACATTTTTATTAATATAAATGAAAATTTAGTTAATTGTAGATATTTCTGGAGCAGTAATTATAGTGGTTATCGTGAACACATGGCTGATAATACCATCTCTGATTATTATCCTATGTCTTGTTATGCTAAGGCAAATCTACATTAAAACAAGTCGTGATTTAAAACGTTTAGAAGCGATTTGTAAGTATAATTTTGTAACTTAAACATTATTTTAATTAAAACTAAATACCTGCTTTCTGTCCCTTAAGCTCGCAGTCCAGTTTATTCATTAACAAATCAAACATTCCAAGGATTAACTACTATTAGAGCAATGGAGGCTGAACAAAATTTGGAATCGGAATTCTATTACTATCAAAATGAAAACACTTCAGCCTTTTTCCTATTATTTTCATCGAACAGAGCTTTTGCTGGCTGGATTGATATTCTATGTGTGTGCTATATTAGCATAGTAACTATAAGTTTTCTGACATTACGTTCAACTTTCAGCAGTGGAGATGTAGGTTTAGCTATCTTGCAAACGTGTGCCTTGGTGGGCACATGTCAATGGGGCATGCGTCAATCGGCAGAAATGGAAAATAATATGATAAGTGTGGAACGTGTTTTAGAGTATACAAACCTACCAGCAGAATCTCCTTTAGAAACATCTGGTTTAGTTAAACCCAAAGATCCGTCTTGGCCCAGCAAGGGACGCATTGAATTTGTCAATTTTTATTTGAAATACTCTCCTAATGGAGAGTTTATTCTGAAGAATTTAAACTTCACCATAGAATCGGAACAGAAAGTTGGAATTGTGGGCCGTACAGGAGCTGGCAAATCTTCTATAATACAGGCATTATTACGTTTGGCCTACAACGAGGGCGTTATACGCATCGATAATGTTGATATTGAAAATATCAGTTTGTACGATTTGAGGAGTTCAATATCCATTATACCCCAAGATCCGGTACTATTTTCGGGTACTTTACGCTATAACTTAGATCCTTTGCAAGAGTATAGCGATGAAAAAATATGGCAGGCCTTAGAAGATGTGGAATTAAATCAACATGTTAGAAAATACATGAATGGTTTAGATTGTGTTATGTCCGAAGGTGGTTCAAACTTAAGTGTGGGCCAAAGACAACTAGTTTGTTTGGCTCGTGCAATTCTAAGACAAAATAAATTGTTAATCTTGGATGAGGCTACTGCTAATGTAGATCCCATGTATGTTAAAAACTACTTATACAATAGAGATCAAATTTAATTGATTTTTATATTTTCTGTTCTTTTCAGTACCGATGCTCTTATACAGAACACAATACGCAAGAAATTTGCCGCTTGTACTGTCTTAACGATTGCCCATCGACTTCATACTGTTATGGATAGTGATCGTATTCTTGTGGTAGATGCTGGTGTTGCTGTGGAATTCGATCATCCTTATGTATTACTACAGAAACCTTCGGGATATCTACGTAAATTGGTAGAACAAACCGGTTCCGATACAGCTGCTACTCTCTTCCAAGTAGCCCAAAAAAGTTATAAATAAAAAACTAGTGTTAGCTGGTTAAATATTATAATTAGCGTGTAGTTAAATAATATAATTGAGATTACAAAAATATTAACTAATAAAAATTAGAATTTCTTAGAAAATTTAGAATGTACTTAAGGCCATAAAATATGTCTATGTTTTATTTTTCTCATATCTTGCTGACCGTTCAGAATTTTGATTTAATCTCTAGGGCAAAGTTGTAGCTTTAATCATAAAGAACGAAAATCATAAAATCTTATATATTGATTTTATCATTCCGTTTGTAACACATCGAAATATTCTGGGTCCTTATTAAATTCTAAGACGATCTAGCCATGTCCGTCCGTCTGTCTATCCGTCTGTCAGTCTATCCGTCTGTCTGTTGAAAGCACGTAGAGTCCGAACGGAATATGCTAAGTTGAAATTTTCCACAAATATTCTCTATAGGAAAGGTTTGTTTGGTATTGAAAATGGGCAATATCGGTCCACGTTTTCGGATAGCGCCCATATAAATGGACCCAATTATAGATCGGCGCATAATTGACCTTACTTACACTCCATATAAAGTCCCCTTCAGAAAATAACTTACAAAAATGCTCATTACTGTCTTAAAATGGCGATGAAATTCGACATAAATAAGTTTCATATGAGCCAAAATCCTACTAAATTTTATGGGGATCGGTCCATAGAAGGTCCCCTTCAGAAAATGACCTTAACGCTCATTACTGGCTTAAAAGTACGAATATATAACTAGACATAAGTAAGTTTCTAACGAGAAAAAATCTCTCTACCAAATGTTATGTGGATCGGTCCATAATTGACCCTACCCTAAGGTTCCCTTCAGAAAATTGCTTTAACGCTCATTACTGGCTAAAAAATACGAGTATAGCTGTGAAATACGACTCAAGTAAGTCCCTTACGAGCCAAAATTTCTTAACCAAATTTTATGTGGATCGGTTCAAAATTAAATGGGAGTAGTGCAATGAAATTCGAAACAAATACTTATTATACAAACCAAAACCTTTCTATCAAATTTTACGACAAACGATCCATAATTGACCCTACTGCCCATATATGTATGTTCACGGTTAAAAATTGAACAAAAATATTATGACTTTAATAATAAATAGTTTGTTAATTGAAAAGAACTCGGTCCATACTTCAAAATATCACCCTGATGTTTATAGGGTAGCAGTCCTTTTACGGCATACGAGATTCGGTACAGCCAAATATAACGCTCTCACTTATTATACCCTACACCACTTTAGTGGGGAGGGTATATTGGGTTTGTGCTGATGTTTGTAACACACACAAATATATTCGTCCTATACCCACCTTAGAGTATACCAATCAGCTTTGAATCATTTTCTGAGTCTATTAAGATATGTCCGTCTGTCCGTCTGGAGGGCTGTCCTTGTGTGCAAGATACAGTTCGCAATTTTCAATATAATTGGATAAAATTTGGTACACGCACCTTTTTTGGCCCAAGGACAAAGCCTATTAAAAATGGTTAAAATCGACCTATTATTTCTCCTGGCCCCCATACAACAGAACCCCCCGAAAAGGCCTTTGAGCTCATAATTATGTTAAATGTAAATGTGTCTCGATATAAAGTGGCACAAATAAGTTTTATTCCTTAATGACCTTGCCAAATTTCATAAAGATCGGGCCTCATTTGACCCTAGCTCCCATATAAAGTCCCCTTCAGAAAATGACTTGTATGTCCAAAATTCACATATAAACACCAATATGGCGATGAATTTCAGCACAAATAAATATTATATAAATATAAATCCAATCACAAAATTGTTTAGGGATAGGTCCATGTTTTTCCCTAACATATATATAAACCCTTTTTCAGAAAATGAGTTTTTCGTCCATAAATTGCTTAAATGTATCGGAAACAAGGTTATTTTGAAGAGAAACACTGTATTATGGAAAATAAATCACATTTAATATTCATAACTTGTGTAGGGTATCATATGATCGGCCACGCCCCACTATTCTTTCTTACATGTTTCAATTCAAGTTTAACGTTGTGACAGCATTGCTTTTATTAACGACACCTGTACGTATACGTGTTAATTATTTATTTATATTACAAATATTAAGTATACGCCTAATAAAAAACAATTTTATTTAAGTTTTTGTGATTTCAGCACACAATTTCTCAAATCCCAAATGTGATGGAGAAATTCAGATTCTGGGTTAAAAATTTATCGGCATGTGTAATTATAATTTATTTCTAAAGCACATACAAATGTATGTTTAGGCTTCCGTTTGTTACTATTTTAAAAAGTAGAGAATGACATACATATATTTTTCATACTGTTCAGTTTGCATTTCAACAATAATAATTACATTGTTGATAAACGTAAATAAATTGTTAGCAATTATTTGCTGTACATTAATTAAGTAACAATTGCTCCAGCAACAGACGTAATTTTTCCTACAAAATACTCGCCAATAATGAAATAGACCCCAAAATTTTCCACTAATAAGCATAATCAAGTTATAAATGAGCTGTTGCTATTGCTGTAGAATTACTTCGCCTGTACCATTGTATGCCATGACTCTAGTAATTCATATTGTTGTTTAAAATTTATGTTGTCCTTGTTTTTAAAATATCTCCGTTTTTATTTCCAAAACATCTCTACAGGATTCATGGTGAAAGTGTGTATTATTTTGTGTGTCTTTTAATTTGGGGCGAAATGTATTTGTGTATTCTTTATATATTTTTATTTGTGTGAACATGATGTAATTAAAACATGAAATTTATTTAGTCATTGTTACACGGATTTTAACTTTTAGTGTTATGGTCTGGAAAAGTTTTTGAAATAATAATACAAACACAAAGGTATTATTTAAACAGTGGAACAAAGGTGAAAATTGAACACTTAAATAATATTTCACAATTTCAACTGTACTATTCGCTTTAAAATATTAATTCGCTAGTCGAACTTTTTAGGCAAATTTTAAATATGTATGTACTTCCAAAATTCTTCAATATTTATGCAAATTGCTCCACTATTAACCACAATGTTGCATTCTTTCCACTTAATTTTTCTTAAATACTGTTTTTATTAGATTTTTTCTATTCTATTTTTTTGCGCTTTCCAAATTACATTGTATTTTTACTTGGTGCACATTTTAATGAAGTGGTTTTTGTGGTTTATGGAAAAAAATATAAATATTTATGTTATGGGCAAGTTTAACGCTTCAATTAAGGTGAAATTGACTAAAAATACAAAAACATTTGGTAAACATTTGACGCAATAAAACCATAAAAAATCTTGCTTTATAGCGGATATTTCACTTATCAAAACAAAATGATTTAAAAAGGCTTTAAATTTGCTTCGAAAACTATAGCATTTATTTCGTCAAATATTTGAAGAATGGGAATATACCAATGAAGTGTATAAAATGAATAAGTTAAATTAGTGATAATTAACAATTAAGAGTGTTATATTCGACGAATCTAAGTTATTTTGTTAAGGGGGACTTATTTGGGTGAAGGTTCAAGTATGGACCGATCCTCAATCAACTTGGTGGAGAGATTTTTGTTTCTATAGTATTTTTAAGGGAGGAATGATAAAATCACACCCCATCTTTTGATGATGTGTATAAAACATGGCGTTCGTTGTTATGTTAAAACACACAACTTACATACATACATATTTATTTAAATGGATGGGCATTATTAAAAATGCAATACACAAATTTGATGCATACTTTTGGGCATTATAATAATGATGATATCGGTATTACCCTGCAAAAATTTAGACTAATCCACACACGCGTATAAAGAGTACTCTTCAATGGACCAGAACTGGTCCAAAACTAATCCAAATATGTGTATGGAATCAAAATACTCCATTTAACATTTTGATACCCTAGGTGAGGACCACGTAATCCATATACATATGTATTACTGAATAATCCCAAAACTACTGCATTTTAAAAGGATGGGAGTACGTGAACCGCAGCAGGGTCCTATGTAATGCAGGCTATGAATCATGTTGTTTTCGAAAAAATAAACATGCATTACTGCATTACATAGGACTACATAACGAATTATTCAATAATGTTTACAGTGAAGTAATTTTAGGATTACCGAAGAGAAGATACTGGTGACAGACAGAGTTAAGTACTCATTTGTAATCCTTGACCGAATATTAAAACGAAGACACCACATAGATGATAGGATCAACAAAGCAAATCGGTCCTGCGCGCTATGTAGTAGAACCATAGGCATGAAATGTGGCCCTAGTCCTATAATGACACATAGATTAAGTTATACACAATCATCGGTCCTGCCCGATCTCATACTAGACACAGAATATTGCGGAAACTTTGAAACAATGATCCCAGATAGAATGTCTTGATTAAGCGAAACATTAGAGCAAATACCAGTAGGAATCCATTGCTAAGCGGATGGCTCTATATTGAAGATCAGAAACAGAAATATACCACCGATACATTTACATTATTTACAACACGAGTCCGATCAACAACGGAAAGCGTAAATTGGATTTGAATAAATAAAACCTATGATAAGCCCACATGGACAGCCAGAAGGCAATTAGGGCGATAACAGTTGATAAACGTATTTCTAAGACCGTATTGGATTGTAAGAAAGCACTAACCGAATACTCTCCCAGAGGTACGAAAAGCCTCCTCAAAATGAGCAAGTCTTAGGTTAGTATGATTGTACGTATTCTGAGTTGACATACAGGATTACGAGCACAGCTATACAAAATTGGACGTGCGAGTTCAGACGAAAATAGAGCATGTTCAGAGGACATTAAAACTCTGGAGCATTTTCTTTGCCATTGTAAGCCTTTCGCCGAAATTAGATCCAATTATCTTGCGAGTGATATTATTCCGGATATAACATCCCTCACGAACACTGTTTAGAAAATTCTTAGGAATTACGTCCAGGTGAGTTTCTGAAAATTGGACGATAATACATTTAGTGAATACTATATAAAGTTTATTTTATCAACAATCATTTTCCGAAGACATCGATTTCAAAAGTTGTGTCACTTAACATGAAATCCCCCAAAACCACAAAATAGATTATTATTTTCAGAATAGGACCGAATGAATAGACTTAGACCCTTCTCAATATTGACATTTTAGTGTTAATATATAATAAATAATTTAAATAATTATTGTCATTGCTGCTTTTAATCGCAATTTACACTAGACCACTCTCATTCACAAAATGTTTTAATAATTTTTTTTAATTTTTAAATAATGGGTATTTAAACAATTGATTTAGTAATAGCCCATTATGATTTATGATTATAAATTCTGAATTTAAACAACAAAGTTCATATAAAAACAAATTAACATTGTCTAGTCTTAAATTAAACAGTGACGATAATTTAAATGAAATTTCATATAGTTAATACATATAAACACACATATTAAACATCTGCTCTAACAAATAATAGTTCTAAATCTATTTATTTACATTATTGTTATATTATAGATCAAATTGTTATTGATCGATAATGTCTCAGTTAAAAAAAAATTACTCATTAACTTTGTTTTACAAAAGTACACTGATTTAAACAATTTTTTTTTTTTGTCATTTCATTCATAAAACTTATCATGATGTACATTATTTTTAGATTATAAATTAAACACTCAAATAAATTATTTAATTATGATAAGTTTATATATTTTGTTTTTTTTTTTCAAAAATATTGTTATCAATTAAATAAGTTATGTGTGCATAAATGCAAAAAAGTAATGGTCACAAGTCCCAAACTTTTATCTTTTAAATTATTTATATCGTTTATTTTGTTATTAATCTTTTTTATTTCATAAAAATATTAAAATGCTTAACCCTTAGATGGACAAAAAATGTCTGAAATCACAAAAAAAATATTTGACCTATTCGCTTTAAAAAAGGAGAATAAATATGTGTATGACTTGAAGTGAAATTCGGCTTTGATGTCATACAAAGATATCATATAAAAAATATCAGAAGGACGAGCCATAGTGACCCCTTTCCTTCTGAAATTAGTTTAAAAGAAGTAAATATATACATAATCTGACAATAATTCTATGAAAAAAATCATGAATGACTTTGGGGTCCATAAATAAAATTTTTGCCGTTTAAAGGTTAAATATTAGTGTTGATCCATTTGTTTAGAGGAAAACTAAGGTGTCGATATTGTCTAATAATAAGAAAGAGCAAATGGTTCTAAGTTATCCTTTCTCAAAATATTGGTTTCGTGGTCAAAATATACTGCCATTTTTTAGAAGAATTTATAAAAAATCGTTGTTTTCTATATAATAACAGATCTGAGGAGGCTCTGAATATCGGTCTTTTCACAAGAAAGGCAAAAATTTCTACGCATATCAGACACAGAATATGTTGGAAACTTTGAATGATAGAATGTCTTGGTCAAGCGGAACATTAGAGCAAATACCAGTAGGAATCCGTTGCTACACGGATGACTCTAAATTAGGGGACAAAGTTGGCCTGGGGTTCTTTATAAAAGACCCAGAAACAGAAATATACCGTTTATCTAATCATAACACAAGCTTCCAGGCAGAAGTCCGAATATGTAAATTGGATGTGTAAATTGGATTAGAATAAATATGGCGCCTACAGGGCTTAATATATTTACCGACAGCTAGAAGGCAATTAGGACGATATCAGGTGATGAAATTAAATCTTAGACCGTATTGGATTGTAAGAAAGATTTCACTGAATATGTACTCTCCCAGAGGTAAGGTTTATATCATATGGGTACCAGGCCACTTCTAATGTAATAGTTTTATGCAAAATCATTCGACGCAACATACACTGAATTAAAAATATAGGTGAGGGAATCCCATAAGGCCTCTTGGAATAATGAAATGGGAATGGGTAGAACCACAAGGATCCTATGGGGTGTCCCTGATGAGGGCAAGACTTCAGACTTCCTCAAAATGAGCAAGTCTAAAGTTATTATACCGATAGTAGCATAGGTGTATTACTTCGGATTTGATGTAGTATACATCCTCCTATCAACCTAACGTAGCCATATTATAACAACCGTAACTTTTTTATTGGGACCACACTATTAAATATGCATTTTAAGTGATAAAATATGTACATTAGTGCTATTGGCCGAATTTTGTAAACAAGTCAATTGAAATTTTCTAAGGTCTATGTGTATAACTTCATGATATGATGTTTACTGTTATTTGCAAAGATTATCTATCCGATTTAAAATACGAACAAAATTTCACATTCCCAATTTTCATTAACCAACCCACTGTTAAACTAAACAATATGCACTTTTTCTGGTAGAAACGAAAACTAATTCTACGCGTTCCAAATACTTTGCTACAAATTTGTTATCGACTTTTATAAGAATTGTTTGTTTAAATAATGAAAGTAATAGTTTGTGAAACGTCGTTCGGTAATAACTGTAAACGGTGAGAAAAAAAGTTTTCAACATTTAAGAAATAAAGTATTTTAACGACATTTTCTAAAGGGGATCTTATATAGGGACAAACGTGAAATATGGCCCTATGTTCTTCTTACTGTATTATTGAGTACATAAAACTAAGTTGGGAAAAATTTGATTATAAATGTCACTTGTTTGAGTATTCAAATTTATGATGAATTTCAATATATTTGTCTATCAATATATAAATTTCTATTGTACCTAACAATTCTTAATTAACTCAAAAGAATCATTAAATAATAAAAAAATTTAATAAACATTAATTATAGGCTTTCAAAATCCCCTAACGCAAAAATGTTTACAAAATGTTTATAATAAATAGAAGGAAAGGTGGGTGAACCACCAAATAAATAGCAATTGATCTTGTCTTGATCCCGTAGTAAATATTTGTTTGTATTGCAGAAACATGTGCAAGATAACGTTGGTTCTTAAGAATTTGAATAAAATTATTCAGAATTTTCTAAAATAAACAAATAAACCGAAAGTAGTAAATTTCATAATATTTCGTAATATATTAAAAAATCCAACATAAAGTGCCCAAATGAATCCTTTTTTTAAAAGGATACAGTTCGTTAAAGCAGTGCTAAAGCGCCGAAATACAAGCATGTGTGTAGTTATCTCTGCTTGAACTTTAAACGAAAAATTTGTTTGTCGCAAATTTTTGTAATTTTCAAAAAAAAAAAATAATAAATCTTATCGCCAATAACAGGAAAATAATAACAACAACATTTATAATTTTCTAGACAAATGTGATTGTCTATTAAAACTGTGAAAATTTGACAACACAGTTAGAAGAATCTTATTTAGGTTGAGCCTGTCCTGAAGTGCGTATACAAATTTTGCGCAGACATTTTATTAAAATTGAAATTGTGAATTTTGAAATAATATCAAAGACGTGAGAGTGAAAATTTGAAAGTGAAAGTGATCCTTGCTAAGTTATAACTTTACTTTATTAATTGTATTAAAAAATCATAAGTTTTACATTATACTTAAATACTTCAACATGTGTAAATAGAGTTTTGAAAATTTTTTCTGAGTCTTTTAAGCCATGTCCGTCCGTCTGTCCGGCTGTTTGACCTTTGTGCGAAAGCTACAGCTTGCAATTATCAAAATAATTTGATAAAATTTTGCTTCGGACGAAGCTTATTGGGAATGGTTAAAATTGTTCCATTATTTCACCAAGCCTTCATACAACCATTCCCCCCGAATAGGACTTTTGAGCTCATAATTATGTTAAATAAAAATTCAGACATTTTCTTATAAAATTTGTTTATGAAAATTTTCGTCACTATACTAATATTATTAAGCCAGTTATAAGGTAAAGTCATTTTCTGAAGGGGACCTTATATAGGGGGTAGATCCTTAGTGAATTTGTTAGTGAAATTATTGATCTCATACAAAATTTTTAGGGCAGTTATGAGCTATTAAGTAATTTTCTGAAGGGGTCCCTATATGGGGGTAGGGTTAATTATAATCCGGTGTCCGCCATAGGTGCCAAATTTCATCACGATACCAAGCAAACCTTAGCAATAGAAAATAGGTTACGTTAGGTTGATGGAATCCGAAGAAATACACCTAGGCGACTATCGAGCCTGCTGTGAGCTCCTTTACATGAAAAAACTCAGTTTTCTGGATGAAATTCCTAAAAATATTCTAATCAGTGTTAGGGATGTTATTTCGGAATAACATTACATCCAATATACTTGGATCTAACTTCGACGAATGCCTGACAGTGACAAAGAAAGTGCTTCAGTGTTTCACTGTCCTCTATACATGCTCTACATTCGTCTGAAACCGCAAGTAGAATTTTGAATAGATATGCTCGTAATCCTGTGTGCCCAATCAGAATACGTACCATCATACTAACCTCAGACTTGCTCATTTTGAGGAGATTTCTCGTTTTGCTCTCGTCAGAGTCATCCCATAGGATCTTTGTGGTTCTACCCTCCGTTTCATTATTCCAAGAGGCCTTATGGGATTCTCTCACCCATAATTTTAATTCAGCTTTTGTTGCGTCGAAAGGTTTTGCGTTCGTCAGGTTAACTACCTTGAACTCCCTTCCTTTTATAGCTATTGCATTCGCCCTATCGTTGCCGACTACTCCCGAGTGGCCTGGTACCCATATGATGTAAACCTTACCTCTGGGAGAACAATTAGTTTTCTTACAATCCAATACGGTCTAAAATTTAATTATATCACCTGATATCGCCCTAAATGCCTTCTGGCTATCGGCAAATATATTTAGCCCTGTGGGCGCCATATTTATTTTAATCCAATTAACATATTCCGTTATTGCTCGGACTTCTGCTTGGAAGCTTGTGTTATGATTAGGTAAACGGTGGTATATTTCTGGGTCTTTAATATAGAACCCCAGGCCCACTTAATCCCCCAATTTAGAGCCATCAGTGTAACTGCGGATGACCAAGATATTCTATATAGAAAGTAACTATACAAAATTTCAACTCTCTAGCTCCTCCCGTGAGGATTCTATAGTGCTTTCAACAGACAGGCGGACGGACATGGCTAGCTCGTCTTAGAATTTAATAAAAATATACATACATCTATACTTTTGTGGATCTACGTCCAATATTTTGATGTTTTACAACTGGAATGACAAAATCAATACCGCGTTTAAAAGTTTTGAACAAAATTTATCGATGAAAATATATTTTCCAGAACGATTCAATATAAAAAATTAATTACAATTCATTGACGGTTCCACGGAACCAATTGCTAATATCAAAATTTCTAAGAAATATAATAAACCTGTCATCAAAGTCATCACGACACGATGCATTTATTCAATTGTCCCGGTTCTAGAACCTCACTATCGTAGCGTTCCATAATTGATCAAAGACACCATATATAGATATATGATCCCTTTCAGAAAATGACTAACTCTTCCTAAACAAGTTTTATAAAACCCACAGTACGCATGTTTACAAAATTTCATAGCGATAGGTTCATTATTTATTGATCAAGATTTATGGAATTAATTTAAAGATATCTAAATCTATTATGCATTTGAAAAGTCGGATTATGTCTTCAAATACTTCCAGTTTATTTTATATTCTTTGTAATTGTAATAACTATTATTTAAAAAAAAATATCATTTTTAGCAATGGGCATTTTACCGGAAGGAGCACCACTTTCCTGGCAAGAGACAAAAGCCTTATCCAAGCATGTACAAAAACATGGAGTACAACAATTTATAAATCTATATCGTAAAGCTAAAGATCGTCATGGTGATCCCTTTAAATGGGGCGATGAAATGGAATATATCATTGTTAAATTTAACCATGATAGAAAAGAAGCCAAAGTTTCTCTGAAAGCAGAGAAACTTTTGAAAATTTTAATTGAAAGAGAAGAAAACAATCAATGCACTGGTTTATGGCGTCCAGAATATGCAGCTTATCAGTTAGAAAGTTCTCCCCTTATCCCATTCCAGGGATCATTCGAACATTTTAAGAAAGTTGAGCCAGATATGCGCCGGAGACGAGCGGAGATTCAAGAGCTATTGGATGAAGATGAATGTGTTATGACTCTGGTGACTACTTTACGTTTTGGTTGTAAAGATTTTACTTATCCAACATTTGAAACTAGACCTGATGATCCCAATAGTTATGCTAAATCTCTTTATATACCTGACGAGGCCATATTTGGCGGACATCGACGTTATCATACTTTATCGCGCAACATGCAAGCGAGACGTGAAGAAAAGATGGAAATCAAATTGAAAGTGTTCCAAGATGAGAATACAAAGTTACCCATTGAAGGCACTCCTATTAAGGAACCAGATGTCGTAATGCTGGATACAACTTTTGGCAGTAACTTACAAGTTACGCTGCAGGGAGCTGATATGACAGAGACGCGTTATTTGTACGATCAATTAGCGCCTTTGTGCCCCATGATACAGGCCATAACTGCTGCTGCTCCTATACATCGGGGTTTTTTAACAGATTTAGATAATAGTTATTATTATATAGGCGATGGTTCAGATGATCGTACACCAGAAGAAAGAGGTCTTAGACCTCTTAAAAATGACAAGTGTGTTTTAAAGAAAAAACGTTGGGATTCCATAGATTCTTATCTCACTTCCGAAGCAGAGAAATACAATGACATTGAACTTTACTACGATCAGGAAATATACGATCACTTGTATAATGAGGGTGTAGATCATGTCATGGCCCAACATATCGCCCACATTTTCATGCGTGATCCTTTACTTATGTTTAGCGGTCAAGTAGATCAAAACGATGAAGAAGAAACTGGACATTTTGATAATATTAACACTTCCACCTGGCAGACTTTGCGCTTTAAACCTGCCATACCCAATACAGATCTCGGTTGTAGAGTAGAATTTCGTCCTTGTGATATTCAAATCACTGATTTCGAAAATGCTGCTGTTTCCTGCTTTGTCATACTTTTAACAAGGGTCATACTGCATTACCGCTTGAATTTCCTCATGCCCATTAGTAAAATCGATGAAAATATGGTGACGGCTCAAAAGCGTGATGCCTGCCGTAAAGAGAAATTTTGGTTCCGTAAAGATATAACCAAATCTAAGAAAAAGATGAATGGTGTTGGAAATGATGGAACAAATGGATTAAGTAATGGTTATATCAATGGCAAAAGCAATGACTTCCCTCAAGATGTTTTAAAAGAATATGGTCTTCACAAGAAATCTGATTGTATTGAACAAAATATCGTTACAAATGGTTACACCAACGATTGCCAGGCTAATGAATTAGAATTCATGACAATCGATGAAATATTCAATGGAAAGGTAAATTTTGTGTTAAATTTCATTGAAATTAGACAAATATTACTCATTAATGTAAAATCCTTAGCTGGTCATTACATAAAAATATGCGCAGATATATTGACTCATTAATACTTTTAGACAATTTCTTATCAATTTTCAATATCATCAATATTTTATTGTTTCTATTTAAATATATTTTAGTCCCAAATATGCCCCGGTTTGATACCGCTTACCCGCGATTATCTTAAAACTCTAGATTTGGATAACGAAACACATTATCTTTTAGAAAAATACATTCGTTTTATAGAGAAAAGAGCATCTGGCGAAATTCTAACAAATGCTATGTGGTTAAGGGAACAAGTCCACAATCATCCTGAATACAAGTAAGTTCTTTGAATCTTATTATGGCAAACATGAATATTAATTTCATTCCATTTTTATAGAAATGATTCAGTCGTTAGTGAAAGAATAAATTACGATATTCTAAAAACGATTAAATATATACAAGATCGAGAAATTATGGAAGCAAAATTATTAAAATAAGAAGTTTATAATTGTGTATTGTAATTTCTATTTAGAGCTTTAATAAAAAACTAGGTTTAAGTTTAATAAGAAATGTTTCAAAAAATTTAACATATTTTGGGAAATAATCTATTAGATTATTAGAGTTCTATATTCGGTTGTGCACAATATTATATACACTTGACCATAGATGAAAAAAAAGTCTTAAAGTTCATGCCTTACAAATATCCGCTTCCCTGCTATAATGGTGTAGGGCATGATTCAACTATTATTGTTATAATGTAGGGTATAAATATACACCTTCTAACATTTCTTCCCGATTAAAAATGTTTATGTGCATAACTTACCAGATATTTGAAAGTAAATTATCAAATTATAATTTTTTGTGATATGTATAATGATCTTGAAGAAAATAGAATATCCTTAGTCATCATTGGAGACTTATTGAATGCCCGAAATTAACTTTATGAAGTAATATTCTCATTACCACACACTTGTCCACAAAACATTAACAAAACTGATATTACATATGTATGTAATTACTCTTGATTTATTGAAATAAAGTGATACTTAATTCTAAAAATAAATTTTGTATTCAGTTCTTTAGCACATCAATTGTTTTGTTTTTGTTTGAGGACATTTGAACATGATTTCAATTTAAAGAATCCGGACGATAGGCCCGATACATATTCATTTCATTGGGAAATGTTTTAAACAATTCCAACAGCATATTGGCTTTAAATTTGCGATAGGCATCAATTTTACCCTTGACTTCCTCATTCTTAGCCAAAGCCTTTTCCACACAATCCTTGGTATACAATTGTGGATTTTTGTCCTGGTCAATGTAATCGAAAACTTCAAAAGGTACATAAATGTCTTGAACTTGGTTCTTTAATTTATTGATTTCCTGCAGGCCAGTAACGAGGCCCTGTCTGAAATGACATTAAAATAATAAATTTAAATTTTATTAACAATTTAAAAATAAAAACTTACATTTTTTGATTTAAAACATTTTGTCCCTGTGGCTGGAAGTCACTCACGATAATGCGTATCTGCCTCACATTTTCTATAAACATTTCCAATTGGGTTTCAAGATTTTCCAAAGGTGCCGACATTTTTCAAAAATTAAATAAGTGTAAATAATATTTTTTTTACGAATATTTTTGCACAAATAAAATTCTTTTTGCGAATTGTAAGAAAAATCACAATAAAGCAAAAATATTGATGACACTTGCTGGAGACCTGCGCCGACAAACATTAACGACGGCGGTTGCTGCTAACACTTAACATTTTGACGGCGACCTAAAATTGATAAGCTGATTAGCTGTATTTTCAAAATGATCAATGATATTGAATGAATAAAAGGTGGGTTTTAAAATTCCTGAATTAAATTGTTTTAGCAAAATTTAAACTTAATATTTGTAACACTTTCTGATTTGAGATATGGTTACTTTTTCAATAAACTGCTGACGTTTAAATAAAAATTCGAAATCTTATTTTTAAATGTTTTCCCAATTCAAAATTATAATTTTAATTATAACACCGTTCGACAAAAAAAGATAAAAAATTGTTAAACACGAACCGGTTGATATACTTCTGATACTATAAATTTAAAGGAGAAAATTGTTTGATCAGTAGAAATATTTTAAAATATTTTTTGAAAAATGTCCTTTTTAAAACTTTAAAGTCTTTTAAAATGGACACAGGATCATGAAATGAAAAACTAAAAACGCAATTTTTCTCCATTAAATTTATAGTTTCAAACATATATTATCCGGTTCATGTCTAATTTTGAGTGTCGAACGGTGTAATTAAGAAACATTTAAAAAATGTTTCAGACAAAATATTGAACTTTAAAAATAAAACATAAAATTTAATGAAAATCTATAAACAGAAACTTTTTGGAATTTTTTTCCTTCCTCAACTGGTACTTTGTGAGTTTTCTATAATATTGAACATAAAAACATATAAAATTAAGCACGTAGCATCCTTATAGAATAAATCTGCTTAAAATTACATTATTATACCTTTTTGTTCTGAATTTTCTGCAATATAGAGACTTGATTCTAGTCACTAAAATCATAACACTCAAAAACAATAAAACTATTATTTATTGTCATGACTGTTATTTATGCTAGACAACACTGAACATACTCTATGACAAAAAATAAATATTTATAAAAAAATTGGCGAACACTGAACGTAATACATATACTTGTTTTTATTTGTATTTCTTCATTCTCCTGCAATTCTTTACATTTTATTGCAGTTTTACGTAAACGACTACTAGGAGTAGTAGAAATTTTGCACAAACTATGGCTAAACATGCATTAATTGGTAAGATATTTTAATAAAATGTATAGTATGTAAACTAAGTAATTATATTTAAGGTGGTGGCAGCGGTTTTATAGGCTCCCGGCTGTCTAAACACTTAGCTGGTCAGGGTTATGAGGTCACTGTGGTCTCACGTATGCCCGGTAAAAGTCGTATTACATGGCACCAATTGGAAAAGGATGGTTTGCCGGATGGCGTTACATCGGTAGTAAATTTGGCTGGACAAAATGTTCTCGATCCTTCACGCAGATGGACTGCCGGATTCAAACAAAATGTCTGGAATTCTCGCATTAACTCTAGTGCAACCTTGGTCAAGGCCATAGAAAAATCACAGGCAGTTAAATCGTTTGTAAACATTTCAGGTGTTTCGCTTTACCGGCCTAACGACAACAAAGTTTATACGGAAGATGATAAGGGAGAAGAATTTGATTTTATGTCTAAATTGTGTATAGAATGGGAAAAGGCAGCTACTCTGCCGGACGCTTTAACTTCTAAAACGAGAGGGGTAAATTTAAAAACAAATAATTTTTACACAGGGCCTGAAATATTGATTAGGCTATAGTAATTATAAATTGGGTTGTAGTTCGAAAAATAGATGTAGCATGGAATATATTTTAGTCCATATTATGGACTTAATACTAACCCGTAGTCTGGACAATATATTAGTCCATAACTTATATTACGGATTATTCCATAATTTAGTCTATAAAACAATCTATAGTCTAGACTGCAGAATAGTCTGGAATATAAAATCCATAGTCTAGACTATACATCAGTTAAAATTCTGGATCATGGCAAAATTATATTTTTGCCATGGTGTGGATTAAAAAATGCTTTAGTTTATAATATGGAACATTCTATATTATGGACCATAATTTAGTCTGTAATTTGAAATATTATATATTATTTATTCTATTTACATATGTATCCCAACAACTATAACAGGTTAAACTAAGAACTGGAGTCGTGGTAGGCCGTGAAGGCGGTATGATACAAAACATCTGGATGCCATTTTTATTAGGTTTGGGTGGACCAATGGGCTCGGGTAAACAAATTTTACCCTGGATACATCTAGAAGATCTCTGTCGTTTAATACAATACTGTCTAGAATCGGATAAGTGTAATGGACCACTGAACGCTGTGGCACCCGAAATTGTTACTAACGGACAATTTTCTAAGGTTAGTTTACTTTCTTTTACAATACGAAAAGATTTATAATGTCTTACTGCTGTATTATAGGCGTTTGCTTCTGCTCTAAGACGCCCTTGTCTATTCCCTGTACCTGCCATCGTAGTTGAACTGCTATTTGGCAAGGACCGTTCAGCTTTACTGTTAACTGGAGCTAAAATTCAACCAAAAAGAACTTTAGAAACTGGTTTCGAGTTCAAATACCCCACTGCCAAGTCTGCCTGTGAGGAGGTGGTAAAGAAAACTTAAGTTGGATAGTAATAATGTGTTAGATTTCTTTGTTAATTATTCTTTATGCTTAAAGTAGAGTATTTTAGTTGTATTTTTTAATTTATTTTAAAGAAATATTGGCAGTAAAATATTTCCATTACGAAAAATTTTTATATTTTAAATCTACCAATACCTGGGAATATGTATTAATGGTTCATGATAATTAAATTTTTAACTACGTTAGAATCTACTTTATCCATATTTGTTGTCATAATCCGTTGCAAAATAAGTCATGTCATGACATAATCTAATGAGTAAAACGTTTGCAGTAAATACAAATAATTTGCCTTTGCTGACATCAATATATAATGTCTGCGATTAAGCACTACGTACACTTTATCTTTTATATGACATTCGGGAAATCTATGAGGTATGTTTGATTATAATCAAAAGGGATATACGACCTTCATTTAGAAATTCTTTATTTTCTTTTATTTTTGTATAAAAATCTTGAATTAATTAAAAGTACTAATATACTAAACCAATGTCCAGAATATAGACTATAGTCTAGATTATAGAATAATCTGTAGTCCAGCATATATTCTAATTCTTGACCCAGCATATAGAACAATATATTGTCCAGACTATATAATGTTATCAAATCTATCTGTAGACTAGTTCGGACTGTAGACAAATATATAGTCCAGACGATAAATCAATCTAATATCATCATAAATACCGATTTTTAGTGCTGCAGTAGTATTATCTATAGTACACACTGTAGATTAACTGTGGACTATAGATAATCTAACTTGAGAATAATCAGTGGTCCATAATCTATGGATCAGATTATGGACTATACTTATATCGAGACCCTATATTAAAAACGTGCTAAATTAATCTTGGGCTAAAGTGACTTTTTTGAAGAGGTGTCTTCGCGCTGTTATAAAGTCTCAAATATTGCTAAAAACCGAGATTTTTAACCTTCATGCCACGGTATCCAAATCCCGATATGATAGGAAATTTTGAGGACATGTTTGGATTCAGCGCTACTTAATCCTTTAGATAAGTATACTTTGGTCTCTGCGCTATAATTTTGTTGGGTAGTGTTATCGAAACAATACTGTTTTCCTACATTTTAACATCCCTGTTTTAAAAGAGTCATCAAAGAGAAACTTATCTGACACGTCAGTGTTGTTTTTGGGAGAGTGGCGCAAAGAGCAAAGAATGATGACAAACTGTCAAACGTGCAAAAAGAAGAATTCGAAAGAACGATAAAAACGAAAGAAAATCTACCAAGGAATTAAATTTTTTTTATATAAAATTAATACAAATTAAAATAATAAAATAGAAAATAAGTAATTAAAATCAACACGAAGGTAAAGTACAAACTAAAAATAAATTATAAAATAGCAATATACTGCAACAAAATGTGTAGGAGAGCTTAGTGTTTTAGTGAAAAAAATCCCAAATTGTACGAAAATTGTTTTTAATGCCGTGCTTCTTGTTATTTTTGTACTTCTAGAACTCATCTTGCGTGGCATACAAATAAGCCATTGTTGTAATACTGCTGTTTGCTTTAGCTGGATTAAAATTTTAAGAAAACAAAATATATTTAGCAAAAGAAAAAAACAAATCAACAAATTCAGAAAATGAAAGGCTTTTGTAATTTGCTGGGGGCCAACATATTGTTGTGTCTCATCTGGGCGTGCACAGTGCAGTCGGTGGAGTTCACATTTGATTTAGCCGATGGAGCTGAAGATTGTTTCTTCGAGGAAATTAAACGCAATACCACCGCCTATTTAGAATTTCAGGTTTCCGCTGGTGGTCAATTAGATGTCGATGTTATGCTCAAGGATCCCCAGGGACGCATAATCTACGAACAGCAAAAGGCCACCTTCGACAGTCACCAGTTTGTAGCCGAAACGACAGGTGTTTACACCGCCTGCTTTAGCAATAAATTCTCCACATTTTCCCACAAATTCGTTTATGTTGACTTCCAAGTGGGAGAAGAACCCGCCTTGCCCGGTGTCGATGATCATGCCACGGTGCTGACACAAATGGAAACCTCTTCTCAGTCCATACACAAATCCTTAAACGATATCTTGGATGCACAAACACATCACCGCCTCCGTGAGGCTCAAGGCCGCAAAAGGGCCGAGGAATTAAACGAACGTGTCATGTGGTGGTCATGTGCTGAAACTGCCGCCATTTTAGTCATTGGCATTGGCCAGATATTAGTGCTACGTAATTTCTTCTCAGATCGTAAGCCCAGCCAGGCACGATATAACCGTTTGTAGAAGCAGTAGTTGCCGTATGGAAAAAATGTTCTATAATAAAAATTTTTATTTTAAATTTTTTGTTCATTTGTTAAAAAAAGAATACCTCTTAACAAATTGTTTGTATTTTAGAAAATACATCCACTTAATGTATTTTAAAAAAATTTCTCCTCTTTCATGTTTCTCATTGAATCCTGCTAAACCTCAATAATTCCTCAAATCATTTAATAATTCCAAAAAATTTGATTTTTTTTCGTTTAGTTAAAAAAATAATCTTAATAAACTTGAAAAACAAATCTTCGATTTAATTTTGGGTTTTTAATTTTAAGTTAATTTTTCTCTGTATTTTTAGTTTAAAAGAAATTTAAATAAAATAAGAAATTCTTATGTATATTTTCCAAAGAAATTTTTCCTTTGATTTGTTTTATTTACATATTAATTAAAGTTTTGTTAAACGAATTCCAAAATGAAGTATTTTGGCTAAAATAATATTATGAAACTGTTATATCCTGAAATCTCACCTAATACCCATTTATTAGAAAATTTTTTTATCGAGAGTACGGACAGGCTACATTGTAAAATAGGTTCAAAATTCCAACGTAAATTCTAAAATGCACAGTGGTTTGTCAACTTTTATGTGGAATAACTTGATATCTCGAAAACTTTTAGAGATATCATAGAGGAGATATTCACCTCTATTCTGCATTTCAATTTGCATCGAAATTTTCTCCAATTGACAACTTTGGTATTCTGCATTTCGATTCGAAGCTTCGTCTCTTAAATAACAACTTACAAAAACTTAGTTACGACCGTAATGCAGAATATCGTTAACCACTGAAATAAATTGGAATTGCTTCTTCTTTTTCTTACGATTCCGTTTTTTGTTGGAATACCAATTTTCGATCGTGCCATAACTGAATGCGGAAACGTAATCGAAATGCAGCTTAATTTATGATCCGAATTCAACAAATTTTTAAAGAAAGATCTAAAAAAGATATTTATATATACAGAATTTTTTAATTTTTAGTTAAAAAGATATTTAGATTGAACAAAGATCTTTCTCGCATTTTATCAGATCTTGTTTTGGTTTTTAAGATGTGATAGTAATTTTTAATAAAACTATATTTCTGATAAAATACTGAACGAAATAAGAAAAATATTGCTAAAAGTTATCTTGTGTCTGTTAAAATGTATAAGCTTCGACAATTTTGCCAAATTGTCCTATACTTTTAATCAAGGCACATTTGATAATTTGAGGTTATTTTAAGAGATTGTTTTGTTCATAAAAATTTATTCCTAAGATGTCAATCTATAAATAAAAAAATCCCTGTCAAAATCTATCTAAAAACGATATTCATTTCAAATAATCTTTTAAAAATTAAAAAATTATCGGTATACATACCTACGTCTAGCGTTAAAAAAATTATCCAATCTTCAAAATTGATTCACCACTTGTACAGATTTTAATTTAAATTTCGAACCAATCTGTACCGCAATTCAGTAACTTTTTAACTACAAAATTTTGTCGTTGAATTGCGGTACTGATCTGGACAATATTAATTTTATTTAAAAGTACTTTATAATTTTTGAATTGAAAATTTAAAATTTGAAATCTAATAATATTTCTATGTTAAAAGTAAGAATTCTAACGCAATGATGTGAAAAATTGGATATTTTAGTGATAAGAGATTTATTGAAATGACACATATTTTGTAAAATAACACCATAAGAAAAATACATTTTGTGGGATTGGTTATCAAATGAGGTCATATTATACATGGTTGGAAAGCTATTTCAAATAAGATATATATTGTACGGATCAGATTTAAAGCTCTTCAGATTTTCAGATATAAAGCACTTTAAATCTGAAACTAAAAGTTTCTTGCCAAAAAGACCTATATATGTATATATATCACAAAAGCTGAGCAAGTGGTGAAATAATTTCAAAGATCGGAGAGTTACATGCATACTTATACATATATCTGCAACGTAAGACAATTTTTTATAGAACGTTTAGAATATTTTCTAAAGAAAATTTTTCAATTTTAAAAATTGTAATATTCCATGTTAGAAAATGTTGTAATGATTATATTTTTAATGATTTTTAATGGCAAACAATTAATGTATATAAATAAAAATCACCAAAAACAATCACAATTATGGAACCCCTATAGCTACAACACTGTTCCCATACAATACCCTAAAATGCAACCCTGTAAATGTTTTTCTCAACGAAAATCAAAACAAAACAAACAACAAAGACTCTGAAAAAATAAAACGGAATCAGCTGATTTTGCAATTGCAAAGCACCAATCAGAAAGCAGAAAGCAAAAGAAACAACAACAAACAAGTAAAAGATACACGTGCATCTAACAACTACTGTTTAAGATGAAAGAAGACAACAAAAGAAAACGCAAAACAAGACCTATGAATGCAAGCACATAAATGTCAAAATAATAAAACAACAAAAAAATTAAAGCAAATATCTTCGAAATACAAAAACAATGAGAACAAAAAATTAAAAAAAAAAAAACGTTAAACAGCAGCCGCGTTAAAAACTCAACTAGAATAGAAAAAAGAACGATGATAAAATAAGATCGGTTCACAACTAAAAAAATAAAGAAACGCAAAATTAAAAGCAATACAAATAAAATAGAAAAAATTTATTCGCTAAATAAACGTCAAATAAACCGCGTGTTCGTTCGGCTAAAATATAAATCAAAATTGCAAAAAGTGCATTTTACACAAGTAAATTTTGTTATCACTTGTTAACAACAGAAAATTTATGAAAATATTAAGTTTATTAAAGTCCCTTTATAAATTCCAACATAAAGCAGAGCAAAAAAGTCTTTAGGTTTAAAGTGTTAAATTTAAGTTATCAAAAAAATACAAGCCGGTTGGCTGCAATTAAAATAAGTGCAAGTTTATTTTGAAAAGAAAAAGAATCCTATTGAAAAATTAAAATGTTGGAAAATAGTATTTTACGTTATTGTTTATACGGTTCATGTGTCATTATCTCCTCTGAAATATTGTATCATTCCTATTATTGGCTTAAGAAAAAGCTAGAGCAACATTCGTCTGCCCAAGAAGTGCATGAGGTCATTTGGACCAATGAGTTAACACAGTCCTGTGCTGCTCGACATCGTTTTAACAGCACAAGTGGTGCCTCACCTTCATCAACGCCCACCAGTGTTTCCTCGTCGGTTATGTCGTCACAAGGTCGTATTGTTAAACTGCCCACTTCACAAAAAACGGCCGCGAAATGTCCTAATCCTTTTTGTGCCGCGTACAATGTCGGTCGTTTAATAGAGTTTGTCGATTCGGCTAAATACTCCATCGATTTGGCCATGTACACATTTACATCGTTTGAATTGTCGCAGGCATTTATTCGTGCTCTTAAACGTGGTGTTTTAATTCGTATTATAAGCGATAAAGAAATGGCCTATTCCAGTGGTTCACAAATCGTATCACTAACAAAAGCTGGTAAGTCAAAAACACATGGATTTTGGTTACTTGGTAGAAAAAAAAACTAATTCTAATTTGTAAGGAAAATAATTCCAATAAGAATCTGTTTTAATATTTTCTTGTTGTTGTTTTTTTTAATTGTTTAATATTATGAAATTCTCTATTTAGATAAACTTTGTAGGAATGGAATCATGCGATTTCTTATTAGAAAGAAGACAATAAATTTTTGAAAATAAAGACGAAGAAAACTTTTATAACTCTTTCGTAAACTCTATATTAAAAAATTTCTATTGAAAATTTCAAGTTCAGAAAAAATTTTTATATAAATTTTAAATTCGAATAGGTATAATTTTAATTTAAAATTAGTTTGAAAATCTATTTTAAAGAAAACTTCATGTTTAAAACATTTAAGTTCGAAAATTCATGTTCAAAAATATTTCGATAGGAAAATTTTATGCTCGAAATTTATTATTGAATTTTATACCCGAAAAATTTTATATTCGTGTATAATATTTTCGAATATTCAAGTTCATAAAACATTTTTATGAAAATTTTATATTCGAAAATATTTTTTTAAATTAGTTTTAAGTTTGAAAATTCCCAAATTTTTCCATACAAACCATATGTTCGAAAATATATTTTTGTATAGAAAAAATTCATGTTCGAAATTAATTAGTTTAGTTTTGATCGTGAAAAAATACATATTCGCAAAATTTTCTATGAAGAACTTTGGAGTTTGAAAAATGTTCGAAAAAAATTCTATAGTCGAAATATTTACGAAAATTACATTTTCAAAAAAATTTATGGAATAATTTTATGTTCAAAAGAATTTTTTTTTATAGAAAATTTATTGTTTGAAAAATTAAATTTCAAAAATTTTCCATTCGAGTTCGAAAATATTTCTATTGAAATATTTTATGTTCGAAATGAATTTTTTTGATCGGAAAAATTTCATTTTCGAAAAATTTCTATTTCATGTTGATCTATAGAATTTTATGTTCGAAAAATTTATACCGAAAAATTTCATGTTCAAAACTTTTCTATAGAAAAATTTCATGTTGAAAACTTTTTTAAAGAAAAATTCCGAACTTTCCAGTGGAACAAAATTTTACGTTCGAAACTTTTCTTAAGAAATATTTTATATTAATGTTTGTACAGAAAAATTGCATGTTTTGAAAATGTGGAAAAAATTAACAATTTCAAAAATATAACGTCGCAATTAAGCAGTATAGGTATTTTCAGTAAACGATATTAGTCATTTTTGAAATAGGGAAATAACCGAGTTAATAATATCACGCCATACTATTGGCAAACATATTTTCTAACCTTAAACGTACGTGCCTAAAACCACGTGCAAAGAATCTTCTCTTTACATTGTGGTTCTCGAAAAAAAAACAACAACAATAACAACTTTATTGAAAAATTACGTCAGACAATTAAAAACTCTGCTGGTGTTGCTGCTCAAATTGTGCAATTTTTTTGTTTGTTTTTCTATTGTTTTAAACCTCAAGAGTTCCATTTTCCCTCTCTCTCTTCTACATATTAAAATACTATGTTAGTCTTATTCTCCTTCTCTGCCAATTGCGATCAATCAAATTTAATAAATAATGATAACAACAACAACATCAGCAACTTCCGCAGCAGCAGCAATAATAATATTTGCATCGTTCTTTGTTTGTGATGTGCCCGTTGCATACAGTGTGAATGACATGCGCACATCCGATTATATTACATAGATACGACTATAGATATACAAATGATGTTGGAGGGAATTGCGTTCATTAATTGTTTCATTTAGTTATTGTTGTTTGTTACACTTTTTTTATCGAAATAACTAGAAACTTATAAAAAATAATTAGTTTAGCTTTGTTTCCAAGTGATTATTTTCTTTACTTTTTTGCACAAATGTACACACTGTAGCTATATTTTTTTGGAGTGCAATGATCGTTTGATTAGTGTGCTAAACTCTTTTAGGTTATTTCAAGGTGATGGCTTTTTATACCCTACACCACTATACTAATCGGCAGAATTATTTTCTAAGTCGATTTAGCTATGTCCGTCCGTCCGTCCGTCCGTCCGTCCGTCTGTGTGTCCATGTAAATTTTGTGCGCACGCTACAGATTGCAATTTTCAAGATAATTTTATGAATTTTGTCACATACTCTTCTTTTGACTCCATTACGAACCCTATTGATCTGTCCTTTATTTCCATACCACCCGATTACGGCTTTTGAGATCATAATTATGTTAAATATTCTTGTATCTCTTTAAAAATCGGCTAAACTTATATAAGTCTAAATGATACTGCCGATTTTCGTAATGATCGGGCTTCATTTAACTCTAGCCCCCATACAAAGTCCCTTTCAAAAATGACGAAGTTCAAAATTCACTTATAAATCACGATGAAATTCTGCACAGACATAAATCCCTCTACCAAGGAATTAGATCCATATATCCTAAAAGGAATATGTATAAATAAATACCAGATTTATTATATGTTACATATGAAAGATGTCAAGCAAATTATGAAAGATGTCAAGCAAATTATTGCAATTTCGCCAGTTTCTATCTATCGCCAATTTCTATCTATCTATAAAAAATGTGAATAATATAACAGTTTCCAAGATGCACGAAATTTTGTACTTAATTCATATATGTTGTGTCAAGCCACCCATTGAAAGTTCGCCCGTCATGCTCTAAATGTTCACATGAATTTCAAAGTTCTCCATGTAAAATTTGATTTGATAGATTCTCGCTCTAATAGTTTCTCAGATATACGCATTTTTCTATTTGATTCATGTGTGGGCTTCAAGCTCCCCGGATGAAAGTCCGCCCTTTTTCCTCCAAAATATTCAGATGAATATTAAAATAATTTGTTCAAAATTTGAAGAATCTAGTTCTATTAGTTTTCCAGTTAAACGAAATTTTGTATTTAATTCATATGGGAGGTACTAAGTACCCCATTGGAAGTCCGCCCGTTATAATCTAAATGTTCAGATGAATGTCAAAGTTCTTCAAGTAAAATTTAAAGATTCTAGCTCTAATAGTTTCTCAGATATACGAATTTTTCTATTGATGAAAGTCCGCTCTTTTTTCCTTAAAAATGTTCTTTAAAGTTCTTCGTCCAAAATTTTAAGAATTTAGTTCTATTAGTTTCCCTGATAAACGAATTTTTGTTTTTAATTAATATGGGAGGTGCCGCTCCCCTCATGGGTAGTCCGCCAATTTATTACCCAAAATGTTTACATGGATGTTAAAGTTCTTTGTGCAAAATTTTAAGAATTAAGTTCTATTAGTTTCCCAGATAAACGAATTTTTGTATTTAATTAATATGGGAGGTGCCGCTCCCCTAATGGTTAGTCCGCCAATTTATTACCCAAAATGTTTACATGGATGTTAAAGTTCTTCGTGCTAAATTTTAAGAATTTAGTTCTATTAGTTTCCCAGATAAACGAATTTTTGTATTTGATTTATATGGGAGGTACCACGCCCCCTAATGATAGTCCGCCTACTTTTTGTCCTAAATGATCATATTGACACTAAAGTGGCTCCGACAAAATTTGAGGACTCTAACCGTTATATTATCTCAAATATACGGATTTTATATTTTTTTAATGTGGGCGTGGCTCATCGCCCACTTGAAATTTCGAAATAAAGTAGCCTATTACCTATTCCAGACATGCAGGAATACGCTGTGAAAATTTCAAGAAAATCGGTTCGGCCGTTTAGTAGTCTATAACGTTCAAACATACATTCATTTTTATATATATAGATATTATATTTTAAAAATGTAATCCACATTTTTAACTTATTCACTGATGTAGGGTATCATATGGTCGGCCATGCCCGATTATACAATCTTGTTTAGAAAAAAATTGCTGCATATTAAAAATACATATTAGAAATTTCAAAAATCAACTGCTACTTAAATTTATTGTTACTGTAGATGTATTAAATGTTATTAAGTTGAATCATAACGATAATATTGATTCAAAACTGGCCTATCCCTTGTTGAATTATTTGCAAATTCTTGTAATTTCTTGAATAGTTATGTGACATATGTATATATTCCATTCCATTTTGAACGTCCGAAGTCCAATACTCCTAATTTTGAAACATAACTCAAAGTCAGGGGAAAGAGATAGCTTTTTTTCTGAAAACCTAATAAAATATTCGAATACTTTATAAAAATGTGTCTGTATTAAAATTGTCACAGTGTCCATGGATATTATGAGCCTAATTTGAAATTATCTAATATGTACTAAATTGCTGGTTCGATGACATTTGATTGTCATCTAAAAAAAGGTAAATCTGTCTCAGAATTCTGCGCGTTTCAGATAAATGTCATAATGTCCAATGTCAGAATGCCATGAACATTGTGACACATGTGTCACATGTCAATACATAAAGTCTATGAGCTGCAAAGAAAAAGCTTAACTTTTTATATAAATTGTAAACATTTCATTCGTCAAACTTCTATGACATATAGTATTTGTATGAAGTACATTACACCCACATATGGGCATGGAAATGAGTTTTCGGATGAACGAGCTAGATTAGGTCTAACCTTGATATAAATAATAGAAATAGAAGAGTGAAACTGTCTCTATTATAGGTTGATTTTCGAAAGAAACCAGTCCTGGGATATTAGAATGTATTGCAAAATATCAAAGGCCTTATGGCCAACACTTGATATGAGGTCTACTAATATATGTATGTACTTATAGGACTGTATAGGCTCAGTCTAAAGATTCTGACAGGGATCTATAAGAGGCATTGTCAGTAAGTGGGACAGACACGATTGAGCATATAATTTGATACTTTCATAAAATTCACAATCTCATGTTGAAACGGATATGAGGCCGACGGTAGAAATTAGCGGTTGAAATTAATAGAAATTTTTGTAATATTCTTTACTGAATAATAAATATGATATGCAGTTTTAAAGTTACTTAAAAATCATTTTGAAGTAGAAAAAATCTAAAGTAGTAATCATTACTAGTTCTAAATTATCAATAT